AGAGAAACAGAGCATCTCAAAGATGAAAGAAAATCGGAGATGGTTTGATGTTAATGACTTTGATAATAATTTTTATTTCAAAAAAAGAAAAAAAAGAAAAAAAAGAAAAAAAAAAAAAAAAAAAGAGAAACAGAGCATCTTAAAGATGAAAGAAAATCGGAGATGCTTTGATGTTAATGACTTTGATAATAATTTTTATTTCTTAATAGTACTAAAAAGTACAATATGACGAATCAGATTTTCAAATTTAAAATGGGTCGTCTCTAAATTCTAAAGGTTTAATATTTAATTTGATTTATAAATTCAAAAAATTTATGATTTAGTCTTTAAATTATTGTATAGAGTTGAAATTTGATTTTACTGTTTATCAATTTACCCCAAATTAATCTTTCCATATAAAAATTAACTGATATATTTTATTATTAACGTGACACGTGATCGTTAAGTTATTATTTTTTGTCATTAAATAATAGATACATCAACTATTTTTTGTACGAAAAAATTAACTTGAGGCAAATTGATAAATTATATAATTCAAATTGAGAGTCTATACAATAATTTAGGAACCAAACCAAAATTTTTTTAATTTAAAAATCAAATCAAAAATACATATAATAATTTAGAAACCAAATTAAAAATTTAACCAATCTTAAAATATTTAGTTTAATTGATCTAAATTTTAAACTCCACCAAACCTTCGAAAAAAATCTTTCCTCCCGTATGATTTCTTTTTATTCATTGTTCACATCACAACTCAGCAACCCCAACTTTTTAATCTTAAAAGCAAGGGGATATCTAACGGCATAAATATGATATAAGGACCCAAACTTACACAAAATTCGCAATGTTAGACCCAAACTTCAATTGCACTTAATTAAGGTCCCGAACTTCATAAAATTCTCAAATAAGGTCCCAATTGGACGGAAAACTAACTTCCGTTAAATCTAACAAACACAGTTAATGTTCTGTCACACTCGCTTAACTGAGTTTGTGACGCCGTTTGTCATCGGCACGCCGTTTGTTATTTGCACGCCTTTGCACGCCTTTGCATGTTGCACCTGCACACCTTTGCATGTTTTTTTTTTTCCATTACTTCATTTATTTTTAGTAATAATA